CATTCATTCTGCCACCATGACTGGATTTGGCCCTTAAGGAGCCCTGCAATAAGGATGTGACCCATGTCGGAGTGAGTTGGACACCCCTGGCTTAGTACATAGCATACAAGATAGTCATGCTGCCAGATTAAGACTGGGGTGGGATGCAGTGTGATTGGGCTAGTTACTTACTTGAATTCTTTGAGACTTGGTTGGCAGTGCTGCTTATGGAGTGAAGCACTACATATCTGATAGGGCTGTGCGAAGCTTTGGTCGCTGATCCGATTTGGTGGAGATTCAGGCTGATTTGGTGGCCAAATCTCCGAATCTGAATCAAATCAAAGGACCCTTTAATCTCTCCGAATCGAATTGGCACCCTCCAAATTGATTCAGAGAGATTTGGAAAGATTAGGAGATTTAGACATAGAGATAGCTTTAAATGTATTTTTCTACATACCTCTAGGTAGCAGAGACTTGTGAGTGCTGGGACACGTGGAGTGTACCACAGAAGCATGAGAGGCTCCCCAGTGCTCTTGGCAGCAGACCTGGAAGTGGACCAGAAGTGGCACTTCAGGGTTTACTGGGGAGTGTGCTGGGGGGGGGCCCCGCACCCCGCTGGCTTTGTGATTGGTGCCTGCTGGGTCTGGGGGGGAACCCAGGGTCCCCCTGTGGCCGAACACAGAGCCAGGGAGGCACAGGGGGGCCTCCAGTGTGCTCCCCGGCAGACCCAGAAGTGGACCGGAAGTACTTTTGGTCCACTTCCAGTTTTGCCACTGAGCACATGGAGGGTCCCCCTGTGCTCCTGTGGGACATTTCATGCACCCCAGCATCGCAGTGATCATGAGCTGTGCCTGCTACCTCAAGGTATGTAGGAAAAAAAGCTGTATCTGTGTCCGAATCACTGATTCTCCAAATCAGCATCGAATCTTCAGATTTAGATTCAGCTGAATCGAATCAGAGACAGTGATCCGAATCAACGAACCACTGTCCCTGATTCGGGCCGAATCCGAAATGAATAGGGCCCACTTTGCGCACCCCTAATAACTTGTCTACTTACTTTTCTGGCTTGCTTCTATACCACCGTGAAATCCCTGTGCTATGTTTAAAATGCAATTGTCAAGTGTTTCATGTTTCTGAAACTTGTGGGAGCATCACCTAATGTTAAGTCAAACTTAACTACTAGTGTTTTCAGTAAAAATATTGCTGCTGCTTTTATGCACCATCTTCATTTGACTTTTTTCAGCCTAAATTTCCTAAAATAACCTTGTTTGGGATATCAGAAAGATGTTTAGAGCTATTTAAATTGTAAATTTTTTGTTTGTGTGCAGATGAGTATGATGGAATGGATAGAGCCTCCAAAACGAGAGCGCAAAGCTAATTATGCAGTGGATGCATATTTTAGAGAAGCTCTACGTGTTAGTGAACCAAAAATTCCCAAGGTAAAAAATGTGTATTTTTAACATCTACCTTACTTCTGATAGTAAAATTAGCATCTATTTTACAGAGTTATGTGTTGCCACTATTCTGAACTGTGGCAGTTTAATAACTGAAATATAGATTGTATCATGTTAATGCATATACACATATATTCTTTTAAAGGCTCCACGACCCCCCAAACAGCCAAATATTCAAGATTTCCAGTTTTTTCCACCACGATTGTTTGAACTTCTGGAAAAAGAAATTCTGTACTATCGCAAGACTATAGGCTATAAGGTAGTAATAATTTTTCTTTCCTTTTCAAATGAGTGGAGTGTGTTAGCATTCATATTTATTGTAACAATGAGGATAAGTAAACTTACGGAAAAAAAGAGAAAAATGGAAACAAAATAGCAAAAGAAAATGCGTTTCAATAAGGTATTCTAGGGTCTTCATATTTATATTTGTGTGGAAGTTATGCATTTTTGCTAGTAATGCCAAAAACCTAGTTTCAATTACATCTATAGTTTTTTACTTCCCTTCAAACCACATATCTAGGTAGGTTGGTGTATATTTCTAGGTGGAATGGACCAAATGAAGAAATGATTAATTTTTTGTATATTTTCTTGGTCTTTTAAAACTGCTTTATGTTTGATGCAAGTTGGGAAAAGGCATGCTTGAATAAAGCAAAGTCACCTTCTGGGGTATGAAATCGGTCTTTTTATAGTGGCTTCTGTGTCTTATGCAGTAAGTATCTGAAGCAACTTTAGAAGCTTATTTAATGTTCCTATGTTGTAAGCTTGGTTAAACAGTATTTTCTCCATCTTTTATAACACAGAGTTGGAAAAATTAGAGAAATTTAACAAAGCACTTAGTCATGTGACTTAAAAAAATGCAGTGTGTTAATATTAGGACATTAATATTATACAGTATCATGCTTTAATACTATAAATATATTTAATTTCAGTGTATCACTTTCAAACCACCCACAAACATTGTTTGAGTTCTCTAACTAGGCCTTAGCTGCTGAATTCATTCCTGCATTGGCTTTAAGGGAAGCAGAGGAACTGAAGGGGGAGATGATTCTTATTTCCTGTGCAGGTGCTGATTTTCTTCTTACGCTGGTTTTACTGTCGTGTAACTCCATTGACATTAGTGGAATTACTCTTTTATTTACACGTGTGACTCCATGCAAAAATTAGGCCAGTTTCAACTAAGCAGGGCACAGAAAGAAGTTAAAGCTAAGAAGTTTGCTAAAACTAAATAGAGATTGAATAATCAACAGGCTTATGCAAGGATATTTATGTGAGAAATACTAAGACTGAAGTATGTGGCAGCATATATGGAATCAGTGTGATGAGAAGGTCCAATACAATATTAGTAAGAGGGAGTGTTTTTTAACTTAAAGTAGGAAATGTCTATAAAAGAAGACTTGGGAGGGAAAATGGGAAGGATTCTAGAAGACTAGTACTAAATAAGAAAAAAGAGGAGCAAAGGTTTTGCACAGTTTGTGTGTTCAAGCCTCTGTAACATGGATGAAAGAAGCATTGATCTTTGTAATATGAAGTAGGAAATAAGGGAAGTTAAGAGGTGGTATCAATTAGTTGCAGGTAAAAGAATATTCAGATAATTAAATGTATTTAAATCAGCAGGACTGGATGAAATTCATGTAAGTTTTAAAGGAAGGAAGAGGTATCGCAGCCAATGACAATCATTTTTGAGAACTCATGGAGAACAGGTGAGGTTCTGGAGAAAGGCAAATTTAGTAACAGGCTTTAATGTGGAAAAACAAAGCTCCAGGAAAATTCAGAGTCTGAGACTGAGGGGAGTCAGGTATGTTAATCGTAACACTGTGTAATGTAGTAGAATCCAGCTTATGAAGTTTCTTAAACTTTGCTGTAGTGTTTGACTTAAAGTGAAAAAAGCATGTATGTACTATTAGTCTTCCCCTTATATATGTAGGAGTCTCTCTTGGAATTAAATAAAAAACAAATTAACTTGGTGTAGATTATAAATGTGTGGGAGAGGTGCCTAGTGTATCTCTGTAGTAATGGTCAATATATTTCTGATATCGACAAATAATTTTGCCTTCTAAGCTCAAATGAACATAGCAACTATAACAAATTAACAACATTGTAATCATTTGTTCAGCATCCGTCAACTTTGGTTCCCTTGTAAGTAAAATAATCTGTATCCTTTCTTCATTGAAAAAGTCAATGTGGAAGAGAGAGGAATTCCCTGAAGACTGGATTGATCTTCCTCTTTCACCTTTACAGTACGGGCATTGACAGGTGTGCAGCTCCTCAGTCTAACTCATGACAGTTCACAGAAACTCTCATGAGTTAGACCAACCCTCCTGACCTAACAGATGTTCACTGTTGGATCAGAAGGTTGTCTTATCCAGCTCCCCTTTGAAGCTGATTGGGAGAGAGAAAGTGCATGTTTTCAGTCTGTCCTGTAGCCCCATCTCCCTCTCCAAGCTCCTGTGGTCTCTCAAGATGGGAGTGGGGGAAAGGCTTTCTCAAGAAAGGGAATGAGTTCAGTCTGGGGTTTCCCCAGCTGCACTGGAGTGGGGGTAGGTGTGGATTGGTTTGGAGCCCCCCACCTTGAGGGCCTCCAGCCCACCCACCTCACCTTCCAGCGCTGGCTGGGGAACCCACAGACCAAACTCACTCCTCTCCCTTTTCCCCCCTCCCATTCTGAAGACAGTATATGGAGCAGAGCCCTGTCCCCAGCCATGCTGACAGACATTAATGAAGGTGCTCAACTTTGGAGTGTTTTTATTTGAACCTCATGCAATGAGGGTTCAGATTGTCCTGCGATCAGGCAGTTTAAAGTGTTCTGCAGCTGTGCACTTCTGTTAATGCACAGCTGTAGATCTCTTTCAGTGGCTGATTGTGAGACAAACTGTCATGTCTGTCAGCACCCTAAGGAGTAACTACATGAAAATCTAAAACCTGTGCACAAAAGTCACATCCAGTATATTTTTACTTTTATCAAAATACTCAGTTTATCGCTACGTTAAGGAGAAATTTATTTTGCTCCCATTTGCCTGCCAGAGTTCAGTACATTTTTGATGTTTCTGGGTTTGTACTATTACAGACTTTAGAAAAGCCCGGTAACCATTACACTCATTTTGCCTCTATGTAGGCAGCTCACATAAAGAATTGCATGAACAGAAACAATTTAAAGGTCTGTGAGGTAATGATTTATCTGTATTCAGCAGTTACTGTATCATCCAGTGTAAACAGGATGTTATAATTGTGGAAGCTAGGAAGACCAACAGAGTGTTTATCGGTCATGTTTTATATCTTAGCAGAGTTAAAGCTAAAGCATCTACATACATAAAGTCCAGAGAGAAAAATCTGTGGATAGATGTTATTGTTTAAAAATACTTAGGTGTGCAACAATGAGGAAGGAAGACATTATTAGTATATGACTTCAGTTATAAGTCGGAATTAAATGAGCTGAATATATATTGCATGTATAATAAGACAGTGAGAGCCAACCTTTTTTATGAAGCAGGCCACAAATTGGCGCTGTACCCTCCACAAGTGCTACTCTATCGGCTTCCCTTGCCCAGTCTGCTTATCTGCTTTCTGCTGCCTGTTTGATCTGCTGCTTTGATTTCTACTTCCTGCTCTAGCTGCAGCTGTGCTGCCTGTCCCATTCATGATCTGCTGTGTGCCACACAGAGGTTGCCTGTACCACTTGTGGCACACGTGTTAAGAGAACATTGAGCTAACACGGTCAAGTACTCAAGAAATGCATGTGCAACCTTAATTGGTCCTTCTGCATATATATTATGATAGACTTATGATTATATTATCACATTATATTTTGTCCATAGGACTCCTGCATCATTTATTGCATGTGGTGTTCTTACTTTGCATCTTGGATTCTTATCTGACCTTAATTTCTTTCTACCTGTTGGGTCTTAGCCTTTTCCCCTTCGTTCCTTGGCACTGAGTCTCTTTGCTGAGCCAATCCTAGTTTTGTACTCCACCACCACTCCCGTTCTAGTCTCTATTAGCTATCTATGAATAGCAATGAGTCTTTGACAAACAAATGCAATAATAGAGCTGATATTTCAAATTTTGCCTGCTTATTCATTGTAATTCTTTTCCACTGTTTAAAAAATCTTCGTTTGCCCCTGGTGTTACTTCAGCAGAGACAAACTCTCCTCTTGTGAATTCCCTCCAAAGGGCTTTTGTTCAGTGGTCCATTAGGAGTGTTTGCACTGCTCAAACTGCAAAGTTGTTCTGAACTTTGCTTAACAGGCCACATACTTACCATAGTTTTAGCTGCCAAAGGAACCCACTACCATAAATGCTTCTATGACACCTGCCCCCTCTCAGCTGCTACATCAGGAAAAAAGGAGCTGTGACCAGAACCAGGTAGATCCCTGGCTGCCATTATAGCCTTTGAGGTTCATTATCAGTCTTGGGGTTTTGAGTAAGCATCTGGGTAGTCACAGAATTGGAGAAGCACTAAAGTAATTTAAAGCTGCTTTTATGTTTCCCATTTTGGATTCATTGCCAAATTATCCTTGGCTGGAATGGAGAACTTGAGTCTAGGAGAGTGGCTCTAATTACCATATTTTAATAATCAATTGTGGAACTTCATCTTGCATCAGATTCAAAGCGGGTTTCTCTGCAAGAGTCTCTGATCACAAATGCAGTTGTGGACCTCCATTTCTAGGTAGACCACTGAAGTGCACTGTTGTGTGCCCTCAGTTTAACTGTATTATTATTAGCAGTGTCCAAAACCTATCCTGTGAAATCTATGCCTATTAGTTGAAAGCTATGTACATTACTGCATAATACTTACCTGAAAAGGTCTAACTTGGATTTTCAGCTGAGAAATATTTTCTTTATTTGTAGCTGAAAAAATATTGAAAGCATTCTTTCTTCGAGATCTTAATAATAATAATCTGTTAGGAAGAAAAAACTGAGTTGATAAATGGAAGTCTGTTGTCTTTGAATTTTGGCAATGAATCATTGTAGGCAACTAATTTTGCAGAAGCCAAACTGAACTGGTATGAGCTGACCTCTGGTTACTGCTTTCATTTCATGTGCTATCACATTTAATTCAGCACTCCATATTTCTGCAAGAAGTGTCCTAAATTTTCAGCCAGAAATATGGACAGAATTGTGTTTTTTCTTCCTGTTCTTTTACTGAATACGAGTTATTACAAAATATTGCAACTTTGTTATTAGAAAAAAAAATCAATTCTTCTAAAATTTTGTTATAAAACCTACTTTTATATGGTTCATTCTTTTTTTCCTGAGGAACAAAGTTCAGGACATAATATGGCATTTTTTAACTAGTCACTACAGCATTGTTAGCTAGTTGATCAGTTTGCGTAAGTCAAATCTGTGCATGGGTTAACTTCCAATACTAATGCAAGTTACTGTAATAAAATAAGAACTGTGACACAGATTGTAACTTTTTTGTTTAGGGAAGAAAGAATGTCTGTATTTTAGTTTGAAAACATGGTAGTTTAAAAATCTTTCTGAAATACATTTTTTAAAGATGTTTGTGCCTCCCATGCCTCCCCCAGGGGTGTGCATAGTGGTGGGAAGCCACCTCCCCCACTCCTGGATGAGCTGCCTGCGGCTCCATCCCACTAACTGCCCCTGGCCCACTCCCTCCCTCACTGTGGGGGCCTTGATCTGCCCTCCCCCACCCCTTCCTTCTCCCCCTCCACAGATTTACCGGTATGGTGCTGTCTGTGTGTCTGTCTGTCTGTGTGTGTCTGTCCCTCACTCCCAAGCCACAGCCCTGCTGCTGCCCTTCACTCCTGACCCACAGTACCCCTCAACCTGCCAGGGTGTGTGGGGACCCTTTCTCCCCAGGCTCCAACCCACCCCTACACACCCACAGCCTCCCTTCACAATTTCCCCACACACACACTCCACCCCCATCCCCCAACTATACAAAATAGCTGCACAGTTAAATTTACGATTAATTGTCACTTTTTTTAATCGTGCTACTAATTGCAATCAACTTTTTAAATCATTTGACAGCCCTAATTTAAACCAACAAAAGCATGAATGTTTGTTAGCTGGGATTATAAATTTCATTCTTAATTCACCTGTTGTGCTTTGCTATGCCAGCATACATATAATATTCAAGCTCACTACTGGGCACTGTTCCTTGCTGTTGAAATTTATTGATGAGAGAGATCTGCACAATTTGCTGTGAGTACTGCTGGAGTCCTGTGTCCCATGTGAAGGCAGGCCATGAGTACAGTGATTGTACAAGAGGTGTATTGGACCTTTGTGCCAGGGAAGAAGATTTAGAGTGGTACAGAGTGTACAGACATAGACTGGAGCAGTAAGATGAGTAAGCAACAGGCTACCAAGTCAGCATGAACCCAGTAGAAGCATCCTTCATCGTAAGTAGAGATAGTGGATGCTGCTCAACTACCAAGATTTATTTTGAGACTTGCCCTACATACATTTCAGTATGAGGGTGAGAGGTCTGAGCATGAGATGAAGAAATATTTCTTCGTATGTTCAGTAGTCACATGTTCAGAACAGACTTTGTGGTTTTATTTCTGTCTTGCTCAGAATTCAGTACAAAATATAAAGGTCACAAAATCTGAAACTTGCAGCAGGATAGGGAGAGACATAGGGCCACACATCTAGCACATTTTTCTATCTAATGCCATACTCTTCTTTCTTTAAATTGCAGGGTTTTATACTTTTATAGTCTAGTTAGTAACCATTATATTTTATAAATTGGGTGCTGTATACATTTGTATTCACTCTCTGTTAGACACAGTTGTGCAGATTCTCAGCTAGTGTGATTTGTCATTGTTTCTTTGACTTTGATGACAAATTTGTTAAGTGTTGGGGTCTACCCCTTCCAGTGTATTTTTAGGCTAGGCAAGTGTGCACTTGACACAGGACCTGTGTATGAGGAAGGTGAGCAGCATTATTTAAAAAAAAAAAAAAAAAGTAAGTCTTAGATCATCATGAAGAAAATAAGGGTTGTATTGTTCTATTCCTGGGAGAAAAAATAATTGTAAAGGTCAGTGTCTACCTTACTTTCTAATCACTGGAGGAAGGTACTTTTATCATTTTCATGTTGTCTTACAGCACTTCTGATACGACTTCCTTTACCTTTTAGACATCTAATTAACTTAAATCCTTTGGCTTCTTACCAGTGAGGTTTATTTTACAATGAAACAAAAGCCTGTAAGCCAAGAAAAAGAATGATCGGCTTATGATTTGATATGTGCACCTTGCCTGCAAGGGTAATATTTTGAACCTCATGATGTTTCTGTAAATTGTAAAAACAGCTGAAGAAAATGTTCTGGTAGTTATATGGCATGTTTTAAAAATATTTGTACTCCCACTATATCAAGGCAGCAGAAGTATTTCCTTTGTAGCACATACTCAGTTAGTGAGGGCTGCATCAATCCTCTCAGACTTAACGTGTTTATAAATTGTAAAGCAGGAGTGATATAAGTATGTACTTATAATCCTTAACAACCTTCTTCATTGCTGCTTGTTCATCCCTCTACTGCTCATTTTAGGTTCCTAGGAATCCTGACCTCCCAAATGCAGCTCAGGCACAAAAAGAGGAACAAAAGAAGATTGATGAATCTGCACCTCTTACTCCAGAAGAAACTGAAGAAAAAGAAAAGCTTCTCACACAAGTAAAATTATGGGAGTAGTAGAAGTATTTGTTGTTCAATATTGTATAAACAAAGGTGGAAATATGTGGAAGATTGCATCTATTTATAAAAATGGGAGTTCATAATACTGGCAGTGATGAATGTATCTAGTAACACTAAACTGATGTTAAAAGGCTGTGGAATTTGAAAAGCTGCAGACATAAAACAGCTAGGTGTAAAGAAAAATATCCCTACTGTCTAACTGCGGGACAGGCTGCGTTTAGCTGTCAATTCTTCTGTAGTTAACCATGCTCAATCTTCTTTTGCTTATCATGCTTCATGTAGTACATTTAACTTGTGCTTTCCCTATTCAAAATAACTAGTCCTAATGGAATTAGTGGAACTCTTTTTTGGGCATTTTTACACATGCTTTGGGAGGCATGGAGGGTGCTTTTAATTAGTGAGCTACACTAATTAAAAGTGCCCGATCATCACGTGTCAGCTCCTTCAATGAGCTTTAGTGCAGAGTGCCCCACTGCCATTTTTCAGGGATGCTGAAACGTGTGACGCTAGAGTCTGCTAGAGCACGTTAATTTCTGCATTTTAGCAGACTCGATTAATCTGAAAGGAAAGTCCGTAATTCTTTAAAAAAAACTCTTTGGCAAGCTCTTGTACCCTTTTAATGTACCGTAATTCTAAACCTGAAGGCAATTGAACTCTGCATAATGATTCATTTAAAGAATAAACTTGATATAACCAAATTCATTGAATTGTAAAATACCTACCTCTCAGTTATTCAAAACAAGTCTCCATTATACTTTCTCTGATACTAGAAATGCAGCTCTTTTAGTTTTTTGTTGTTGCTTTCCAAAGCTAAATTCCATTTTTCTTATTGCATGTACAACCTGCCTTGCATTTGTTGGATGTTCTCAGAGCATTATGAAATCAGTATTGAGCGCTTTATTTTTTAAATAAATAAAATTAAGACGTTTCTTCTAAATAGGTTATTTGTTCAGATTGTAGCATTTATGCTACTGTTTTTGTTTGTGGTAAGACACTTTTTGAGTAAATAGACTCAAATAGGTTATTTTTTTTATAAGAACCAA